TCGCACCCGATTATTCGCACAAAGGAAGACGGATCTCGTAATCTGTAATTGTAATCGTGTTCCTCTCTGCTGCGGTCACAGCGATTCCGTTAGCTGGAAGTATCTGTTAAATACATTAAAAGAGAGGGTCTGCTTGACCAAAGGACAGGATAGGTTGGGGTCAAGGTTGACCAAAGACAAGTACAGGTTGTGGTCGTGTAAATCCGCGGACAAGATACGTGGTCACGTGGTCACGTAAGACCACAAACCTAAATTGATCCCAGGTTGGCGGGTCAACTGACGGACCTACTTCTTCGGAACTGCAACCACATTATTTTAGGAGTCTACCACTCTGCCGTGCGAGGACTTTCATGGCCACAAGAGAAGATCCCCTTGAATAAATTGTGCAAACTACTTGGCACTGAAACAAACATTGCATGAATGATACATGGTACCACGGGCCACCGGGCAAACAAAATGCCAAATATACAAGAAGCTATGTGAATGATGACATCAGTAAATACATGACTTAGAGACCTTTTAAGGCTTTCCTGAATCAAACTCACCATCCTTGAAGTTGTGAATGTGGGGGTTGCAGCAGCCCAACTACCCATTAGTGGAAGGGATGAAGAGGAGATACTTTGGTTTGTAGTTGAAGTAGATGCCCCTAAAAGAATTCCCTGAGTACTGTTGGTGCTAACTTCCTTAAGCGGTACCGCCAGTAAGGCAAAGACTTCTTACCCTTAGTTGATATTAACTACCCTGCTTGATTGTCACACCAAATCGAATCAACTGAAAAAGGGAGGCCATGGTCTGGCCAGCCATGGCTTGACGGAACCCCCCAAAACACACAGATGGCCTGCATCTGTCTTAGCATTGCTGAACCCGAAAGCCGCTGTTGAATCCACTGCCATCCAACGCTCTGTCAGTACGGCTCCTGTCCCCAGCTTTAGTTGCGGATGTCGGTACAAATAAGACGCCATGTCCAGCAGCAGCACGTGATGCGTATGGCGACACTAAAGCAACACCGTTGCGCTGCATCTCAGACCAACATAAAGCTGCACACCTTTCCTCAGCAGCTTAACATTTGGAAGAAGTCGCACAGTTGGGGAATGCAAATTTGTGATTGTCAACCTGTCACTTGCACAAGGACACGCAGCTGAGGGCTAATCTTCTCTTTCTCTACTTTTTCTTTTTTTCATGACATGTCACTATTGCGAGGGCGGCACGGTGGTGTGGTGGTTAGCACTGTTGCCTCACAGCAAGAAGGTCCTGGGTTCAACTCTGCCCAGTGGCCTTTCTGTGTGAGTTTGCATGTTCTCCCCGTGTCTGCGTGGGTTCTCTCCGGGTACTCCGGCTTCCTCCCACAGTCCAAAGACATGCTCTGGGGATCAGGTTAATTGGGGACTCTAAATCAGGTATGTGAGTGTGAATGGGTGTATGTCTCTGTGTTAGCCCTGCGATTGGCTGGCGACCAGTCCAGGGTGATAGACTTCGGTCTATCGCCCGAAGTTGGCTGCGCCCCCTGTGTGCAGGATAAGCGGTTTGACAATGGATGGATGGATGTCACTATTGCTACTACCTCGGGCACGCACACACGCACATGCAACAGGCACCTGCTGTTATTACTTAGGGATTCAGTGGACATTGCCAAAAAAACAACAACCCGTGAACAGCGTCTGTCACGAGCGCAGCTGCCTTGTAGGGCAATAAGGTGTTACAAGCTCATTAAGATACGACGGTGCCTCACCAGCAAGTGCCTTGTAGGTGAGGAGAAGTACCATGGAGGGATGACAGTGATGTCCGTCCTCGACGGCCCGGAGTAGCTGGGGAGAACACGTCCGGGTGCAGGGCTGCCCCGGTTAGCCCGCGTAGTGTGCTTGTCGCTCCCTCACAGAGCTAACGGTAACCCCTCAACCACATTCAGTTTTTGCTGTCAGGGCTCTTAATAAAGCACTAATTTCTGCTTCTTGCTTATTGTGGTTCTGGTTCTGTACCCTCTTATGAATGCGCGTATTATTGAGTTCACCTCTGGTCACTGGTCATTTATGCAGATTACAGATGACACAATACACCGTTAAAGCCACACGTTGAGCAGAAGTGGTTTAGGGAGGAAGTTCGAAAGTTAGAAAATTCTGAATACTCAAAGAAAGATATTCCAAAAAGATGCATAACCCCATCTTTTTTAGAAAAAGTGGTTCTCTCAAAGACAGAAAAAACAGTATTTTACCTAAATGATCCATGAGCCGACATCAATCTTCATTCAAAGGACTCATGGGGTATCTGTCTTTTATCTGCAAAATCAAGGTCTCCACTGTATAATATATCCTTGGATGAATGGTCCATTATTAAACTCCTTATGGGAAGAAAGCTTTTATTTCAAAGTGGTGAAAATAGATGACTTTTTGACAATGATGCTGCAAAGTTCGAGCTTTTATGACGGAGCCAAATCACGCAGTTGTCCTGATAAATTAAGTTGTATTGGTCATTCAAGTGTAGTGTAGTGAAGGTGATGAATAATTAATTCAGTTGAATATTTCGTTTTATATTTGTATTCTAGTACATTATTATTAGTATTTTTTCACACACACACACACACACACACACACACCGACACAACGCGATCCACGCATCCCTTCTGAACTGAGCCTCCTGTTCACATTTACCAATCTCACACATTAGCTCTTCCCTCTGTCGCTCCTCTCCTCGTCCCTCTTATCACAGTGCTCGCTGTCAACAGACTGATGGAGCGACACCTATCGGGCGTTGGCCCCGCCTATGTGTGCACAGGCGTTTGTGATCGGATGGCGAGTACAAACAGACATAAAGATAGTAAGAGCAGCGGCGTGCTGGAAGAGGGAGATAATCCTAGCAGGGATGTACTGTGTGCCAAGCACCAAGGGGACACAGATGGAGTTCCTCCAGAGGATTAGATGGGGACAGATAGGGGGATGTTTGCAACTGCCGAAAATATCTGTCTGGAAATTTATTAACAAAATGTATAATGCGAGCACGCACTAACTGAAGGTTGTTTGAGCCCTAAACTGTGGGAACAAGTTCAAATTAAGGTCAAACCGCGGTCATTGTTTCGTCCCACTGTGCAAGGGAAACCAGAACGAATCTTGGGCACTCGGATGGGATGCTACAAAAACAGCACGCAAAAGTGTAATGTGCCTTTAGTCGGATCTCGTTTTATAAGCATCACTAACTGGAATCAGTACAACGCTGTTTCTTCTTCAGTTCATCTGCTTTGCCAAAACCAGGCTTTATTGTTGCATGGCAAAATAAACAAAGCTGAAGAGCTCGCTGCTCAACCCAATGACGTCTACGAGCTCTTAACTTTCAGCATTGCATTTAATTATTTATTATTGCAATTTGCACTGTTAATTGCAGCATCAAATAACACAAAATATTCATCTGTTTCATTAAATCAGAATTGATGGTTTTAGGATTTCTTGAAAAAATACTAATAATAATGTACTAGAATACAAATATAAAACGAAATATTCAACTGAATTAATTATTCATCACCTTCACTACACTACACTTGAATGACCAATACAATACATTTATCAGGACAACTGCGTGATTTGGCTCCGTCATAAAAGCTCGAACTTTGCAGCATCATTGTCAAAAAGTCATCTATTTTCACCACTTTGAAATAAAAGCTTTCTTCCCATAAGGAGTTTAATAATGGACCATTCATCCAAGGATATATTATACAGTGGAGACATTGATTTTGCAGATAAAAGACAGATACCCCATGAGTCCTTTGAATGAAGATTGATGTCGGCTCATGGATCATTTAGGTAAAATACCGCAGACAGACAGACACAAATGAGTCGAGGCAGAGAAAAGAAAGAAACCAGGGTAAAAAGAGGATGATGTGTCTGTATCCGTTCATGTGGCAAACTACCCATGTACACATGACAAGGATGTAAAAACAAGTCTATCAGAAGAAGACAATTGATTTCAAATAATTCTTGTGTTTTTTTCTCTCTCGCATTATTCACCCAGCTAAATTGTTAAAAACTGTAAATTGGCAGATTGCATTAGCTGTAGCTAGATAGCAACTTTTGGGGGGTGAAAATGATGTAACATAATTGTTTCCAATATAATTGTCTTTAACTAAACTATTTCCCTTCATGCATGGATTCTTTGAGGGGTTGTGTTTGGTTCAGCATTGCTGATTTTTATGGATGTGTATGAAACAAAGTAGTTTGTAGTATCATGTGTACATTTATTTACTTTCATGTGAATTTAAAAAATGTTTCCGCACTAACAAAGGCTCCTAATTATTACTTAATTGTGATGATTCAAAGGTCTTTGATCTTTTTTACAAAATACTATCCCTTTTTATGAAATTGTTTTTATGATGTACTACCGGTATACTAAGACTTATTATGTGCCAATGCTAAATCTGGCAGCCAGTCCCAGCAGTCATCATCTACAGATAATGGCTATATTATATTACGAATTTTTAATTACAAATTCTTACTTTAAAATGCGATGCATTTTAATGACTTTTTTGTCACACTCTATTGACTTTTTTTAAACATACTATGTTTTTTACATGCTATACTACGTTTTCAACACACAATGTTTTTTTTTTTTAGCTTTTTATGAAATACTGTACTATGACTGTACTGTACACACCTGTTTCATATTGTTTCCTATGTTTTTATAGTAATTTACAAAATCTAGATTTTTTTCGACCTATATCTGGAAAAAAAACAAAAACATTCTTCCAATGCTTCCAAGCATTTTATGATGTGACGTTATTTTCTGACTTTCTTCATGAAATACTTTTTTACTATTACATTATTTTCTGAACTGAATATCATTATACGAACATCAATAGTATGATAGTCAACGCTGTGTGATTAACCTGAGGACACATGCTGGGCCAACCGCCTCTCACCACTAGGAGACCCTCCATGCAGAGACGGGTTGCTGAGCTGTGATTGGACCATCACTGTTCTACTCAGACAAATGGCCGGTCGCATGCACAGCGTATCTACCTTCTGAGCTGATTTCACGGGAGCGGACCAGGTCGCTCTTGTTTCCCACCAGGATGATTGGTGTGTGTGGCTGGGACTCCCTAAGGAGGAGGCGGAGCTGGGCAGTGCGGTGGAAGCTTCGCCTGTCAGTCACCGAGAAGACCAGGATGCACACGTCACACTGTAGTGTGGAGAGCTCCTGTGGACACAAACACACACACATACACACACACATACATACATTAATAAAAACCTCAGTACTGTATACACAGAGAGGTTTGATGACAGCTCAACAGGTGTGGGACATCAGGTTATGCAAAATCCTTTCCATACCATCAATACAAAACAGTTTGTCCTCTGACTAAATGTTTAAACTGATTTCTCCATGTGTTCCTATTTTGTTGTTCTTCTGGAGCTGAAAGCGCATCTGTGCCAGTGCCATGAAGGCTTTTATATAAAAGTGTCCTCTTATTGGACAGCTATATAGCTGTCCAATAAGAGGACACAGAGACTACTTTTCCCAACTTGACAGTACACATGCTTCACCTTGAATTAGTTTAACAGTGACCATAAAGACATCCCGTGGGGGCTTTTTACCACACACGCTCAATTGGTCCCAGTGGCTGTTTACAGGTGTTAGAGAGGTCATAGGGAGCATCAATGGCCAGTCAACCTTTATTGGTCTAATTATTTAGGGAACTGTCATCTAATTTTGATTTAAGTGAAACGCTTGTGAAATGTAGAGTAAAATGCAATCCCTATTTAGATTTAAGATTAAGACAAAGATTACGATTTTAAATGGTTCACTGTCTTTGTTTAGAACATGGCTAAATAACATTACTTTGTGGTTCCTCCTATTCCCCTTACAGCCTGTTAAAAAACAACAGGTCAAATGTGTAGTCAATTTGAAAGGCGTCGCTCAAGGTGACGGACCCACCGACAATCAAACCCTCAATCCCATTTTATTGAATATTGAACCAACTGTCACGAAGGTGCGGGGAAGGTAGGACTCAGACACAGAGTTTTCAAGAAACAAAAAAGGACTTTAATAGTCAAAATTTCCACAAACAAAAAGCCAAGGTGCAAAAACACGGACAGGAACCTGGGACATGGACATCCGGACGTTCAACAACAATGACGCAACAAGTGACAAGAGACACACATGGCTTAAATACACTAGGGAGGTGCAGGTGGTTGCAAACAGCTGGAAACAATCATGACAGACAATCACAGGGGAAGACAGGACAAGGCAGGAAGTGAAGTTACCAGGGAGACATGATGCAGAAAACTACAAAATAAAACAGGACGTGAACCCCGAACCGTTGGTGAGGTATCCTCACTATGTTTTAAGTTCACGGTTCTGTTCTGGAATTGGCAGTGCTCATCCAGAGGTTACAACAAGCACAATCAATACAAACAAGTGTTCTACCAAATCACTTAATGAAATAGAGACTCATTATAAAATGAGAAGAAATACAAGAACGACAAGTTTCTATCTTTGTAACGAAGCACAGGTGTTTTTCTTAACTTAACTCGAAACCCGCCCAGAGGGTTGTTCATATTCTATTAGCACTTTTAATCCATAACTTTCCAATTGTGTTATTTCTGAAAACTGCAAATCTCTGATGTTTAGAACTGCAAACACAATCAAGTTGTATTATAACTGGAAACATGCCTCTGAAGCTGCTGACTTAATCGATATGAAAACACATTATTTCCACCAGATAACCCAATTGGCCCGCTGGTGTCTGGTCTGTCTGTATGCTCGTGCCCTACATCCACACCCCCAAAGGAAAATCCCTTCTCTCCAGAGAGATTCAGACACCGGAAGAATTCACATGGTCTCATGCGGCCAAGTAGTATTGGATCAGACCCCGGAACAGGAAACTCACAGGGAGCGCCTTGGCACTCCGTCTGTTTGACAGAGCACAGGAAGAGACAGGGAGCGGAGAAAGGAGGAGGGCACAGAGCCATCGGCATGGAAGGCAACTACGCCACCTGTCACTGTCTGATTTAGGGATGAGGATGGAGAAGGAAAACAACAAGAGAGAGAGAAACAGAGGAAGACACTAATTTTAGTAAATACAGGAGTACATCAGAGAGAGGAAATCGAATAGGAGTGTGATGGAGCACTTCAGAAGTGAAAAGCCAAGTAAATGCACCTCTTTGTCAAATGGAGACAGGAAAACTCAGGACAGTGCCAACCTCCCCCTCCCCCCCCGCCCTCCCCACCCCCCCTCCCCCTCTCCCTTCATTTCCCCCTTTTTCTTTCTCTTGATTAAACAGCTCCTCTGTGTTCACAGAGAGCAGGCCATCTGTCAATACCTAACCCCCCCTCCCAGCGCACACACTTTACACACACACACACTTTACACACACACACACACATGTTCACATGGACAAACACACAAACACAAAAGCCAGGCCCATGGAGTAATATTCAAATCACATGCAGATAGACAGGGAAATACAGTGATCCCTCGCCACTTCGCGGTTCACTTATCGCGGATTCGCTATTTCGCGGATTTTCATATTGCATTTTTTTTTTTTTGGTGCATTGTGCTCTGCATTCTGATTCGCTAAAAACTCACTCCCGAGCCGTTCATTACAGTTCTCCAACGTCATCGATGGTGGCATGTCGGTGTACAAGGATCTTTTTGCAAAGAAGAAAAAAGAGCGACAACAGCTGCCTATCACTATGTTCTTCTCCCGAACAAACACACCTGCACCGCGGGCTTCAGAAGAAGAGAACACTGCAGAGCGCAGTCAGGATGCAGCGGCCCAGTCTGAAGAGCAGTGAAACGGCCTACACGCGAGTCACTGTATTTGTATACATGTAATAGTTGCTAATTGTAAAAAAAAAAAAAGTTTTCTATTTCGCGGATTTCACTTATCGCGGGTCATTTTCGGAACGTAACCCCCGCGATAAACGAGGGATTACTGTATAACAATTTATAAACAGAGAACTCATCGGGCAGACTCAGACATTTCACTTGAGAAAGATCTGCATTGTGAAGTTTCACTGGATTGGCAGATATACCAGCTTGCTACACTGTCAGGCCAAAAGAATGTGGACACGTATTGGGTCAACATTCTCAGCCTCTTTAGTTCTAATTAAGGGAACGTAATCTTAAAGGCCCAGGGAACATAATCATTGGTTTTCATCAAGTTTTTCAGCCAAAGCTCAAACGGTTTTGGGCTTTTTTCTGTGATGCTTTGCCTGTGCTGCTCTGGTCACTGGTATGACGTGAGTATATTAGTCCCTTCTGTGTAGCACTTAATGTTACTTATCCTCTGAAAGATCGTCACCAATAGATGTAAAATTCAGACATAGTAGTGGAGCTCTTCTTTCTACCCTGCTGTTAACTCTCATTCTGGTAAACACAGTCCACTAGGACAGTCAGTAATGCCTTCAAACACCGATATTAACAGAGGGACAGGCCTCTCTGATCCAGCACAAACTAAGCTTTTTCAACAACTTGAACTCGAAGCTATCAACTGAGTTGTGTTGGAAAAACAGCATTGATTGTAACACTAAACTGTAATTTTCATATGTTTCACAAGCTTTTCACGGAGACAACACACATTATACACTCAGCATTAACATGCACTCAGAAACACACTCACACGCGGTGCTACAGCCAGACCCCCACAACAATTAACAGTGAGGAAAATGAATCACTTATCAGAAGTAATTTGCATAACATGCTGTGGCCGTGCAAGCACTCTAACTATTGTGTCTATCAGCTGTGAAACAGGGCAGAAAACACACCATTTTGCCACATTTTGAGTGAGTACACGAGCACATGTGGGTGTTCATCCCTCATTATACAACATGCTCCCCACCGGCTGGAACACAGAACCTGAACCTTTGCAATCCATTGGCTCCCAAGCAATTTGCTTTGCAGAAAAAGATACATGAGCAAAGCAGCTTAAGGTGCTTAACATGAGAAAAAAAAGGTCAAACACATCACCACCTGCTTGCACAAACATCACAGAGCGCACACACGTGCAAAGATATAAGAGACGCTGATGCAACCATTTTACTTTATCAAAAGCAAACACATACTTTGTGCACACCTGTTTCTTTGGCTAGTGTTCTATCTGTCTTGTCAGGGCCAAATGAAGGAGCTGGCCGGACCAACAAAGAGGCAGGGTTGATGAGTGAACAGAGGAAAAGGACTGGGCAAAAGAAGGAGGAGGAGATGGAAGACTACCTCGCTCAAAATGAGGAAGCTTATTGCAAATGGAATGCCGAGTTATCGGGCTTGGTATTTTTTCTCTCGCTTACTTTCTTCTGCATAAAGCCAACACGTCGCTATGGGAATTCAATACAGAAGCCATCTTGTCTGCACTGCCTAGGCCAAACACACATACATGCACACAGACATGCATGAGGACTCCGTAAGGAAAGCCCCAATGATGAGCACACAGCACCCAACATACAAACGCATACATACACACACACACACACACACACACACACACACACACACACACACACACACACACCACAAGAGAGTAGTGTGGGTCCCTGCATGACCCAGATTCAGGCTTTAATATGACAGCATGTGAAGACTGCAGCCTGCTAAAGTGGTCATTATCAAACCCCTAAATCCCTATTTGGTAGTTGACTTTTGACTCCAAGATTTCCAGTACAACACAAGTATCGCATACTGTACTATGCATTCATGTCAATATCATTTGATATTTCTACCAACCAATACCGAAAAAAGAATTGTGCCTCTTTATCTGTTTGCTCTCTGCTCGTTGACTGTCTAGTACATTTTGTGAGTGACAGTATTACCGATGAGAATTAAGTTGAGACCGAGTAAAAACTTGCAACTGGTTATGCAGGGCAGAGGGACGGGGCCCAAACGCAGTCTGAGGAGCCAGTAGGATGAATTGTTAATGAAAATAGCACACAGTGACAGAGACATTAAGGTGAACCTTCAGATAACAGACGGCCGAATGCAAAAACAGGTTCAACTGATAAGCTTGGAAATAAAATGGGCTAGTTCATTATGAAATGTTGTGAGCAAGACCTCATGTAATTATTATAGTAGTTAGTTAGCTAACTTTGGGGGCCATCAGGGCAATCCAAAAACAAAAATGAAGTATGTCTTGCAAACTGTGTCGCTCTAGCAGGTGAAGTAGCTTAAGTTCATCATCACATCATGTCCCAGTGAACTCTCCTTAGGCAAATTACAGTAGACACAAAGGGGATGCATTCAGAGCTCTGGCCCTTTTAGTGATTTAACATTTTTTAATGTGATTATTGATCAAATTGTGAGCTAGCTGAATTGTCAGCTCAAACATGTATCGCCTGTCTTCAGTCAATTAAAGCTTTCTGCTAGTTTCTCAGCCTGTTCCATCCACCGGATTTAAAAAGCTCTATTTAAAAATGTAGCATGATTTTGATAATTATCTACCTTAAAAACAATGCAGGATTTTAAATTTCTGAATTTCTTTTCACAGTATGTGCCAGACAAATGGAGCGATGGCTCCCAGCGGAGACTGAAACAAACAAAAGGTATAATAGCTTGTGGGGATTACGACAAGAAAGAAGAAACTGTGAATAGTCCAGAACGTCTTTCATAACGGGCCTGGGAAGAAACCCCCCGGAGACAACACCAAAATCTGTCTCTGTGCCAAGAACTAGATGGTGGAACAATGTTATTTCTTCCCTCCTAATCAAGCTAAGGAATGTGGTCAAGCGGCAATTATCTTCTTTCAAATTACTTCCCGGCTTAACCTAATAAACAACTCTGTCCTCAGGGGGCAGGAGCCAATTCTCCTCTGCACGCTGACCTAAACACACAGACACATCACTGGCATCCATTTCTACTGCCTGCACCTTTTGCTTGTCTTTGATATGTTTTTTCATGTCAAGCTATCAAATAATAACGGGAACTCCTGGACAGAATAACTAACAAACACTAAGGCATACAAACACATATTTGAGTCAAAAAGGGTGAGCAGGACTCAATATCCCACTGGGTTCCCCAACATATAGACCCAGTTGACAGCTTGAGAATAATATTACACAACAAACCTCAGTCTAAAGGTGAACGGCAGCATGCGCCAGTTAGGTCAAGGCCATGTATGCCAGTGTTTCTATTTTGGGAACTCGAATGACTTATTTAAACCATCCAACCCCACGTGATGTCGACAACACTCACAACATCGCAGTGTCTGGCTGAGCAGACTCTCAGCCTTCTGTGCGTCTGTAGGCTGGTGTGTTTCACACACTCAACCGCGCCGATGCACAAACACGCGTGTGTCTGTCAGCAGAGTCCATGTAGTATATGCTCCTGTACACGGGACGAGCTCTTCTTTGATTTGTCGCAGACCGCTGTTGTGCTCTGCAGTTGGGAAGACTACAGCACCAGGTAGATACGTAATTTATCAATCAGTTGTGCATTACGCCAAGTGAGCACCAGAAGGGACAATCCCTGTGTCTAAATGTAACAGTTTTTTATCTTCTTATCTTATCCCCAACGGGCGCTGGATGCTCACTGTTTTCGCATTAAGCAGTCTTATGCACGAATGAGTGTGTGTGTGTGTGTGTGGATCACATGGGTGCAGGTTGTGATACCCCATAGAGAACACTTGCAGCCCAGCCTCAGGGGACAAGCGGCCAATGCCAGTTTCTGGCCACAACGTGTGTTAGGCAGCTTGGTCAACATCTGTCTGCACATCTCACTCTGCAGGTGCAAACGTGTCCGTATGTGTCTGGGTTTTTTCAATGCGTATCGCCACAAAAAAAAGCACAGAAACATAGGCATGAATTGCCAAATGATTTGGGACGCAGTCCAGTTCTCTCTGGCTCCCCCTATTGCTGACCGCTTTGGAGACATTCCAAGCTTCCCGCCGGCTCGGGTCTGTTGCTTCAACCGTAATGCTCTGCCTTGTATTAACACGCTCACGTGTAATTAATTCAAGATTTATCCAGCACAGAAAAAAGCCAGTGCAGAGCTTGTGTAGCAAGCGCTACAGAAATTAATGAATAAAAAAGGGGCAGAGTGAATGGGGGATCTAGCTTCCAGCAGGAGTCCACGATCCACCCTACCCTCTAATCAGAGTGCTCGACCGTATCATCATATTATTAATAGGTTTTAATGAGTGAATGTTTTTTGATTTCGCTCAGTGTGACAAGGAGCTTTTTGGCAAGTTATTATTGTTCTCTGCCTGCTGCAAATCCAAATCATTCTGGCTCAAAAGCCACAGAGCCACAGGGCTGTATTTACTTACTCACACCGCTACGCTCAGCGGATGAAGCAATTTAAGCTCAGGCCAAAATGTTCTTGTTAACCAAAGTTTTGAATTGAAACAAGCAAGGTTATTGTGAGAGTGATTTCCACTTTTCCAAATGGGTGAACTTAAAAAAAAAGCTTGGCACAGCTGCTCCTGTAGGGTTCCCTTCAAAGTGCAGCACAAACACACACATAAAAGCTACAGACTGCACACACACTCTATTTACACTCGAATACACACAATCATTTGCCCAGGAGAGAAATCAAACCTTTTTCCATTTTTTTAGAATGAATGAATGAATGTCAAACCAGGAGCAGTTATTGGTAGCTTAGACGACACAGAGCGTAACATGAGACTAAACTGTCCTATAAGAAGAAGACAGAGGGACTGAGGTGTGAAGCAGACGGTCAGTAACTCACCTGTTTCCAGTTGTCAAAAATGATGAGTTTGCTGTCCTCGTCGTCGATCGTCACTGAGCACTCGTAGCCCTCACCTGCAAGAAAATACCCATGTCACACACATCATCACACAGAGTGAGGACAAACACAACAATATATATTTATAGACACCTTGAGGCAGTTAAATGATTGTTTAAATGAGTTTAAGAAGGTGTAACTGCAACCAAATTCAGACATCATAAGGACATTCATTTCTAGACACTTTTTAACTACAGTTTAATGGAAACCAGGTTTTAGCCTATTCCTCGACCCTTTCAGATGCGTAACCTTTAATGGTCACTCTGAACATGTAAATAGTTTAAAAGGGGAGCAAAATATATTATTTTCATTCAAATAAATAACTCAAAACAGGGCTTGATTAATCAAACGGGACTGTTTTAGCTGCTCAACTACTTTAACTAGTGAAATATTGTGTTTTCAGGGATCATCTACAGTATCTGCGCTCTTATTAATGAACAGCTGTTAATGGCGTGGCTCGAGCATGTTTCATCTTTGGTTACACACACAATGCTGGTGAATAGGATCAACAACTGTCATTAGTTGTGGCTTTTCATGGAATTTGTTGACAGGAATAGCAACCATTCATACGAACAAAAGGCACACATTAGCATTGTAAATTGTAAAGAGAATCTCTTATTACAAAGTAGAAAAAGTAAAACCTTAAAGATGCTTGTTGACCATTTAATTCAATTGATAAATGTAATGTAAAAATGAACTACCTATAACTGCAGTGGAGCTTTTAAAATATAAAGAAGCCCATAACAGCTTGAAATAGATACAGCACAGCAAATGCCTTGGTGTTAATAGGGTCTCACTATATTTTACCAGTAATTACTTTGTGAGGACATGTATTGATTAGTGAGGTGTTAACCCACGCACAGGGCTGCTACAGCATCTGCTGAAAACTGTTGTAAAAGCAGTAATTAAATCAAAGGTGTTGATTAGTTTATTTTTAGTTAAATTTTATGTTTTACCCTTTACAATTTTGACGTGTAGGTTATAGAACAATTTACCGCTTTGTTAAAAATTTGCAATGAGAAACTGAGTGGCTTGATGGAAATAGTGCACAAGCTTCTTGGAAGGAAGTAGTTTTTCTATCCATTTATGATGCATGAGTCCAAGTGTACAACATGGGCAGTAATGAATACTGTATGTCGTGAGTCACGGCCAAGTCAGCTTTATGCATGAGGGAGAGCGGTGGTCTCTCGTTGACACTGACTCATTGTTGGGCTGGTTGAGGACCAGGGATGATGAGATTTATGACAGACGCACCTCATAACCAACATTGTCTGTTTTTAGAAGTTTCAGAGGTAAATATACCCAAAGTGAAACTTTTTGTATTAGCTTAGCATAAAGACTGGAAAAAGGATGCAATTAGCTTACCCCGGCTCTGCAACCAGTAGCCATCTTATAACCTCTGTAGGATATCTGTTATTCTGTTTGATTAGCCAGTCCAGTCGTTATGCTAAGCTAGGCTAGCTAATTGCTACCTCCAGGCTCATGTCTAGCCTGAAGACATCAGAGTGGTATCAATCTGTTCACCTGACTTTTGACATGGAATTGTGAGTGTTTTACCTTAAGATAACACAGTGTGTAAATGAAGCATTTCTAAAGTAACCCTTCAGACAGATTTAAAAAGGTTTAGTGTGCACAAACACAAAAAACAAATCCATCAATCGCCATCCAGGTCTTTACCACACGCTTGCGTCTCAGAGTCTATAGAGAGGGATCTGTCCGATTGCCCGGCCAGAGATAAGGCTAGCGACGACTTGCCCACGCCGTTCTGTCCCAGTAGCACTATCTTCAAAGCTCCGCCGTGGCTGTGGTAAGCCGACTGGGCGGCTGCCGATTTGCCGCTGGACTCCTGAGACACACCTGTGCCACTGATAGGCAACATGGCCGGCTCCTCCATGCCCGGAATCCAATCACAGTCCTCTGATACGGCCTCTTCCCTTCGCAGCTGGTGTTTGAGAGGCAGGGGTGTGCTTCCACGTCGCAGGGGCGGCGCCGTGGTGAGAAACATACTGTACTAGAATCAAATTGAGAGAGAAAACCAAAAGGTTGTGTAAGTTTAGGGCAGTTCTTGCAAATAGTACATTTGCAGAAAGGCTGTCTATTCTGTTAAATGTTTTCACCGAGGAATGGGGGAAGGGTATTGCCACTGCGTAGGACAAGCTACCGAAAGACTGACAGAAGATAGGAAGATTCTAAAAGACAGCAAGCTGAAAAAGCACTCAGATAGAGCGAGGAAGAGAAGGCGGGAGAAAGAGGGAGAAGGACTGAGGGAAAGAGGCCATAGTGTGTGAGGTGTAAGGTGACTCTAAAGGGTGTAACCCCGTTACTTCACACAGAAATGTGTTCGACACATAAAGTTTTGGTCACCCCAAAAAAAGGGGAAACTGTTGGAGGTTTTCTCTGGAACAACAGTTTGGCTGAAAAAAGTGTGCGCGTGCACATAAGAGTGTGCGTTTGTAGCCAAAGCAGGTCAACCTAAGACAACCCTCATCCATATGAGCTCATGGGCTTCATGCCTGCCTGTGGCAACGCTCAGTACAGTGTTGGCACTTAATTAAAGGGTATTGACACAGTGACATGAGCTTATCTGGGTGAGATGCAAACCAATTCAGCACGACCACAGGTAAAGTCTCCCAAATAAAACTATCCTGATTGAAGACGTGTCGCTGACACAGTGTCCCCCCTCAACTAAAGGGTTATAAATGTAGAAAATAATTAGATGTCCTGCAATATGGTGTAGTGTAGTGTATTGTGGGATGTATCCACAGTATAGAATAGACAGATGTAGTATAATATACTAAATAAATAATATTGTAGAATAGTACAGTACAACAAATGCTGTAGTTAATACATGATAATACAAAACGTCCACTGCATTATAATGTGGTTTCAGTGTAGTTTTACTACGGAACAGTAGAGCAATGAATGTGTCATACGTGCAGTTGAGGTGCAGCTACCTGTGACAGTCACGTGCTCACACACACATACACACACACACACACATACACACACACACACACACACACACACACACACACACACACACACACACACACACACACACACGTCATTCACACACGCTCATTCGCGTAGCTCAATTAGGGTAATTGAACGAGTCAATCAATTAAGCATGGGCTTTATAGTGAGCGGGGCTCGGGGGACTGTGGCTGCGGGCTGAGGCAGCGAGTCAGGGGTTAATCTGCTTCTCTCGCCAGGCTGTGGAGAAACTGGGGCAAAACAACAGTGCGATACAAAAGGAATACTACTGGCAATGTTTTCATCCTCCCTGCCGTTACAGCCCAATTACGCTGTCGGCTGATTCTTGTTTTCCAGCGGAAGCCCATGGTTATTTCTGTTGTAGTTCGATCCTTCCAAAGAAGCCGATACGGCTCATTCAAATTCACATTGTTATTAAAAGAGACGGATAGAGCATAGAGCTAAAAAATACCAAGATAACGGCAAAGTCACTACTGAGTAGCGCAGACACGCCAGTCTAATAATGCCCGTAAAGCCAAAGAGGAAGATAAAAAGATGCAAAAAAATGTCAAAGTGACTTCCGACGTACAGAGTTGTTGTGTCCGGGAGAGAGCTTGCTGGATAAATCATCAATGAGTGTTATCGTGTTATCCTCTACGATACACATTAAGAGTGTCTGTCTGCGCGTGCGTGTTTTTTCTGTGTAGCCTACCTGGTGCGTGCGCGTGCAGTCTAGGCTATTGTGCAGAGCGCACGAGCTGGGAAGGGCAGGGTGAGGAAAGGCTTCGCCTTACCTGGTCCGCCATGGTTGTCAAAAAGTATTCTCTTTGTGGAACAGGTGATGCCGTTAAAAAACCGCCTCAGCTCATCTGCGCCGCGCGCGCAGCCGGCATCGCGTTCACAGCGGCGGTAACAGGCGGCGCACGCGAGAGACGCACCACATCTCCTTTAACATCATGTCATTCCTCCCACTCCCGAGCGTGCAAATCCGCCCGTGGTGACCGGAAGGCAGACGGGAGCACGTCTGGGGCTGGAGGAGCGAGTAAGAAGGCTACACCTGCGTCTGCGGACGGAATGAGAGGCGAGTTCTTGTGTGAAGCGGAACGAAACCCATCAGCAGCACGGCGCTCCCCCTCTTGTCACCTCGGCGCGCCAATAGTTAGTACCTGCATCTCTCCAGTCCAACCCTCCCCTCTCTCTCTCTCTCTCTCTCTCTCTCTCTCTCTCTCTCTCTCTCTCTCTCTCTCTCTCTCTCTCACACACCCTGTCTCTTTGTTGTATGTATGGGGGGAGGGGGGCTCTTCCTTCGGTGAGAGGGATCTTCCTACGGATCAGCGCTGTCACCGGACGCGGCTTTCCCGGTTTCAGGTTGGACCAGAGGTTCACTATTGTTTGTCTCTGTGGGGGACGCGGCCGCCAGGTGGTGCCAGAGAAACGTATCTTTTTGGATGCGTCTTGTCGAACAGAGGAATTGGTTATTTTTCTTATTCGGGTCCCATTACCAGGAAGAGCTTTCATTAGGATTTTAAGAAGCCGCCCACCGAGTGTACTCGCGAAGAGAGGACTTCAAAAAGCGGTTGTGTAATGTCTACGGTGGGAGCCAGGAAAATGAGTCAGGAAAACAAAAGAAAAAAAATAAACCTGATGATGTGGTCAGTTCAGTTTATATCATATTTGGTTTCCCCAATTACCTGGGTAGGCGGCACGGTGGCGTGGTGGTTAGCACTGTTGCCTCACAGCAAGAAGGTCCTGGGTTCGATTCCGCCCAGTGGCCTTTCTGTGTGGAGTCTGCATGTTCTCCCCGTGTCTGCGTGGGTTCTCTCTGGGTTCTCTGGCTTCCTCCCACAGTTCAAAGACATGATGCTCTGGGGATCAGGTTAATTGGGGACTTTAAATTGTGAATGGTTGTATGTCTCTGTGTTAGCCCTGCGATTGGCTGGCGACCAATCCAGGATGTACCCTGTCTATCGCCCGAGGTTGGCTGGGATGGACTCCAGCCCCCCCCCGCGACCCTGTGTGCAGGATAAGTGGTTTGACAATGGATGGATGCATGGATTACCTGGGCGGAGTCTGATGGCTGCCTGCTGTCACACCTGTCCTGCATATACAATTGTCAGGAACCCTTCTTAAGGAGCAGCAGGAGCACCAGTCTTCGCCAGATCGTTTTGCCCTCCTTGTGGTAACTTGGCTAGCTCTCGCCAGAGATTGGTTTTCGGAGTTAATAGTTTTTGTGCATTAACCTTGTTTCAGCCTCGTCCCAGCCTGCTTCCACCTGAGCCCGACGGATTCCCTGGCTTCCCCCTCGCCCTCCGCGGCTCGGGAGAATCCCCTCCAGCCAGACGGATCATTGCCTCTCCCTCCAGCGTGGCTTCCATCAATTGTATTGCTCCTGCCGCCCGGACCCTTGTGCCTGCCTGCTTCTCCAGCGTCTCCCCCCGGCCACGGATTCAGCGCTACCTATTTAAATCCATTTGCTGCCGAAAATAAAATCATTTTTTATCCTCTGAAACCTGCGTTTGAGTCCCACCTTTGTTTTGGCTGTCACCCCATGACAAATTGAGCAGAAACATGGGAGACAACTTGATTCTAGTAGGTCAATCTCAACTTCTCTCTCTCTTCTTATTTTCTGTCCAATAAAGGCCAAATGGCCAAAAGAAAAATATGATGAATTAAAGTGTATGGCTATTTACCCCAACTTTTAAAACACTAACCCTCAAATTACAGACACAGAAACCAATGATTGATGATGCATACCACAAGAAAGTCAATATTCTCTAATTCCATTTTCCTGACTATATTTACACTTTAATCTAATGTTAATGTTTTGTGCCCATTAGCTAACCATCACCAAGTCATCACCAAGTGCTGCCAAGATGACCCTCTACACTGTAACAAATTGTTGTAAATTTACGGTGCATTTCTAACGGTATATCTTACAGTATGTCATAATAACTAACATACAGTTACATTTCCATCCCTTGCTTGTAAATTAATGGCCAATGTCATGAATAAACAGTTAAAGCTGTCAATTTACGATAATAGCAGACTACTGTCATTCAACTGCATGTTACATATATTTTTTGAAGTGGTGGAAATACACATACGAGTGCAGTGAATCACAATCCATCTACATATGTTGTAGGTTAATGTATGGAAGCCCATGTCAGCCACTGAAAAACAGGTCCTGTAAGTCATCTTAATGAGATAGTATCTCATGAGATACGATGACTTTGACTTACAGGAAATTACTATACATGTAGCTGTCACTTTTATCCAAAACACCCATGGTTTGACATAATTTTATGTGGAGTAATTGGGGGTTAGGGGTCCTGCTCAGGGACACTTCGACTTGGCACCAGGAGCAGCCAGGATTCAAACCTCCAACCTTGCGGTGCACAGCACACCCTCCCTATCGCATGCGCCACCGCTGCTGTTGTTTCAGTGGCTGGAATGTAAAGATTATAAATATTAGTATTATTCAAAGTGTTCATTGCCTAAAAGTCATTTGAGTGTCAATCGTGACCGACTGCTCCTGAACGTGACGTCAGACGCATAGTCTCAGTTCATCCAGAACACCTGTCAGTGCAGTTCAACATCGGAGGAGTTTCTCATTGCCTCGTCTCTTCAAGTAACGTTGGTAAGTGTTATTTGCCAGCATGATTAACATTCTCTTTCCTTACATCTTGTTGTCTTCCTCATCTTTGTAATTTTAATATTTTACCAATGACAGTGTTTCTAAATATTTTATTTTGGTTTGTTTTACAGTAGCCACTAGATTATGGACGCCAGCCGTTTACTGCGGCCAATTGAAAGTGTTCCATAGCGTATCGTTGCAGTTAGTTCACCTTGTTCCTAATAATTTTATGATTCATTTTTTTATTATTGTATACATACGTCATATTTTATGTTTTGTTCTTGGTTATAAATGTCTAACATTTTTGTCTTAAAGGCATCTAATAAACTCCAACCACTATGACCGAAATGGGTTTGGTTGTCTTTCTTTAATTTGTGGGGAATTAAATGCAAACATATACGGTTATTCTGGTATTTATAACACAAAAACAGTAATCCTATGGTAACAAACTGTAATCCAATATACGGCAACATACCGTATATTACGGTAGGTAAAAACAGGTACTGTAAATAAAACAGTAAGTTGCAGTTAATTTACAGTCAAATTGGTTCAAGTTTACGGTAACATACAGTAATCCATTGTACGGTAACATACTTACTGGCATCCGCTGCCAGTATTTTACCTTTAATTGACTGTAAAGTTCACGCCAATTTACTGTAATCCATTTTACGGTAACATAGTGTAAAACCATTTACGGTGAAATTTGTTTGAGTGTAATACTGTGGAAAATCCAATGGTTCGATCTATTCACACAACCCCTTACGAACCGATAACACCGGCGCCCGGGTTCATATCTGCCAAATATGTGAGAAATCTGATTCCCATAACACGTGGAATACCACTTTGTCCCAGACTTTGAAGTGTCTTTGGTCCATTCGGACACCAATAAACTGGGTGAAGAAGAAAAATTATTCTTTTCTGAAAAGTGGCCCAGTTTATATTGTAGACTGATTTGCACATGAAAAAGCTACCAAGATGAACATAAAAACCATTTCCCCATCATTGACGCATGCTGCTTTTAGTGAAGTCCTTGGTGTCAACAATGGAACTTTTTAAATGTTAGCTTCCCAGCCAAGGCTGTGATACCTCATAGATTATTATGTTCACTGTGGAGTCCTACAAACTATTATACTCATCTCCCTTTTCCATTCCTTCGAACAAACCCCCCATCAAAAGAGCTTTTGCGTAATACCGTTGTATTATGATGTTCAGGAACCGCCATCAACAGCAGATTACGTTTAATTTCATATTATCAATTACAAAAATAGCTAAATACAATGAAAATCCAAAAGAACTCTTTAAATGCATGATGTTTTAAGATAAACTAAGCTATGAGGTTTGGTAAACAAGCCTCATTAAGCTGTAAGATATCTTCCCAGCATCAAATGACAGATGGAGAAAGTTTACAATAGTGGAGTCTGAAGCAAGGGGAAAGTGGTGGAGACCAAAACAGAGCAGAATACGTCACGTACATTCATGGGGTGGAGCGACATAATAAATAATGCTCAGCAACATGCAAAACCTTATCAAAAACGAGAAGAACATTTTTTTGTCAGATAAAAGACACTTTCACAAATCAATATTGAAGCAATTTGACAATATAGCAAATGCCATATATTTCCCCCTGGTGGTTTCCAATTGGACTCACAGTAGGAATATTGCTGAGGGGAACAGAGAATCCATCATGTGGTTTAAACATGCTGGATGACGAAAGGCGAAAGAAAGCTACTCGACTAAAGCTCTTTGTATTAGTATTCATATTACTTTTTATTAAACAGACGGAGATTTGGGATTCAAAATGTGTTCACTGACTTTGAATGACCTGACAACCCCCGTGGACTATTAAGGGGGGAGGATGTGATATTGCTGTCACACTCAAAGAATCAATACCTCTCCAAAATTCTCATGTAGATGGCGAGAAGTCCACTCTGTCCAATAACCATCCCCCACATGCCCTTGCATAGTTTTCCCTCACACTTTTTTAACCTGTTCTGCTCTCCGCTGTTCTTAGCTGGCTGATCTCATTGTGTTTCTTAAAAAGTACAACCAGCCTGCGGACAAGTGAGGGGTCTCAGTGAATGCTCAGAATGGGGATGGCAAGGATTCTCTCTATGGGCCTGCTGAGTGTGACTTATATTCTTAGCTTTCACTAATCTGCAGACGTAATTAAGACTCATCAGGACATCAGAGCGGCCCGTGCCTTGCACTGTGCGAGGGGATCACAGCGCAGATGACAGAGGAAAGTGCTCTCATTAGCCACTAGGACGGTATCGACGCCAAAGCCGCCTGCTCCTCCCCAAAGGATGGACGGTCTGTCACCAAGACGTGCCGTGGTGCATTCTGGGAGATATTAGGAGGTCGAGAGGCAACAGAGGTGCATTTTATAGCAGTCAATAAGATGACCAGTGCAACGTCAGAGATTGCCACTGACGTTGCACATCATGGTAACATGACCTCCAATCACTTCGAGTGAATGAAATGTCTCTATCCTATTAAATGAAAGAATGAGGGATGACAACTTTTTTTTAGTGTGGTGCATGTGTGGTGGTCTAGGACAACAATTTATTGCACATGGTAGCAAAGAAGATATTTAAGTATGGCTTTAAACATGTTAGTGTGTGTTTAAGATTTAAAAAATCAAGCAATTTCCATCTTAGATATTCAGCTTAAATGAGCTCAACTTGACAATGACTGCTTCACACATCTCGATAGGAATAGCTTGAAAACCAAAAATGCAATTACTCGTTCTCAGCCGACTTGTCAAAGAGAGCAGGAGCATGTAATGCCCTATGAAATTAAGCCGAGCTGGGGAGAGGTCATTTTCCCATGCTGATGTTCTCATGTGATCCTTTGTGTCACATTCCTGTTTAAAAGGCACGTCTCCGCATTTAAGTGCACAGCAAAAGGAGAAGGCTTCTTTTCGAGCCACCAATAAGACAAAGAGGCCGCTTTTCACAAGGTTATCCAGATGACATTGAATTTAGATAGCGTTGCAACCAAGCGAGGCAGCTTGGTAATACGTCGGCTGCATCGCTTGTCGATTAGCCACAGGTCTTTTTGTGTTGTGCCAATATATAAGTCATACTTATCAGATGCTCTTTTTATTGCCATTTGGGGATGGTTGTTTAAGGGCTCCATGGGGATTCATGCTTGATTGGAGGGTTTCTGTCAGCTGATGTGGCTCTGCAGACATCCTTCGGCCCCCTGAAAAAGACCTGCGGTGACCTTGCGGTTTCCGGCACACCCTCTCGGCGCACCCTCTCTACCCTTGCACCACTCCCCCACACAGTCAGCCTGTGTGTCGGTGTTCGGTGAGTAAGTGAGTGTGCGGGGGATCAGGGTGTGACAGGCTTGCGAGAGGAGCAGGAGCAAAACGCCGGCGCTGCACAGGGTTTTTTCCCAAGCGCTTATGTAAGAAGGAAGGCATCAGAGCCCGGAGCTGACGCACGGCCGGACACGACAGCAGGAAGTAGAGCGGCGGGTTCCAGCCACGGATCCAGGCACACCAGCAAAATGGCCGCCAGGGACGCGACCTCCCACAGCAAGGACACCTTTGTCTTGGCTTCCTCACTCGGCGAGGCAGAGGTGGATGACGCCATTGAAGATAGGTCACGTCCCGGCGTGCTGACAGGGGAAGCTGCCGTGCTGACATACGGGGACATAACATTGACAAACTCAAGCGCATAATACGGCAGCCAGCTGATCGCAAACACCAGCGTTGAAGCGATCAGCAGAGCGGTGGCCTTCTTGTTGCGGCGGTTGGCGGTCAGAGAGGAGATGTGCAGCCGTGGAGGTGAGCGATGATGTTGGGTTTAACGGCGATGCAGAGGAGAGGCGCCACATAATAAACCAGGAAAGCGGGAACCAGGAAGGAC